TTTCCCAGCAATGCTTGTTTCAGCACTCTTTTCGAAGCTCTATTCAATCAGTGTGCTCGCTTGGAGCACACCCACAGAATTAAAACGATAAATGCCTATCTTTACATAATTTTTCTTGTGTAGTCCTCTAGGCCTAATTAAACTGCCTACCTTTTTTTTTTTTTTTTAAATCAAAATTACAACTTTAAAAGGTAGCGGGCGGGAAAGGAATAAACAATAATTGTAGGAAATGAAATTCTTATAATTTCACTCCTCGACACATTCCCAACTTAACTGAGACTTATTGAAAAGACTTACCTATGTACTAGAAATGTTAAGGGGACTCATACACCTTAAAACCTTGGAGTTGAGTTTATAAAATGTGTTTTATTAAAAAAAATCTGTAATGTTTTCGTGCATAATTTTTTTAACACTAAAATATTCATCCAATTTTCGGTTCACTTAGAAAATAAATTCCATGAAATTTCAAGTACGTACCATTAGCCATTTTTAAAATATCATGCGGGCAAGGCGGGAACATGACGAAATATTTTGTCAGAAAACGGATTAAATTACAAAAATATTTGTGGCAACACAAACTATCTGGTTACTAGTTTCTAAAGAAACTATATTATGTAGTCAGTTGTAAAAACGTGGAAGTAATTGCTTTTAAAATAAATAAAATATCCCGATTCTTGCAGCACTCACATATTCCAAGATCATAAGGGGTTTAAGGTGTATGAGCTCCTTTAACGTCTCTTGGACTCATAGTTCTGGTCTAGGTAATGGCTAACCAGTTAGGATCAGTAACAACTACATCAGACCCGTGGCTCATTCGGTGGTGAGTTCAGACTCGTCAGAGACCATATGGTACTGTCTTGACTACCCGTTGTTTGTCAGGTTACAGCCGAAAACATCGCGGCAAAAACATCGCAGACGAAAATGTCGCGGAGAAAACAACGCAAGGCGAAAACGTCGTGCTACAAAACATCGTGGGAGAAAACATCGCAAAGAGAAAACATCGCAGTTCTAAAACATCGTGGTACAAAACATCGTCGTCGAAAATAAAGCGGTTCAAAAACATCGCAGTTTAAAAACATCGTCGTCGAAAATATCGTGGGAAAAAATAAAGTATCCACAAATCATCGCATGATGATAACATCGCAGACATGCTTTTTTCAGGCATGCTTTAATGAGTGTAAATGGATATTCCCATAATGATTTGTGAGGGCAAGATGGAAAGAAGGATAATTTTTTACTTTCATATTTTTTATTAATTAATATAATTTTTTGCTGAGAAAATTAAAAAGGAAACTTAAGCATAAAAATTAATAGCACTTAATAGAATTTTAAACCGACATAGTTAACTAACAAAGGCCATTAATAAATCATTTTTATAAAGTTTTACTGGTAATATTTCATGAAAAGTATAATCTATAAGTTACATTTAATTTTCTATGCTTAAGTTTCCTTCTTTGCGTTTTCAGCAAAAATTTATTAGTTAATAAAAAATGTGAAAGTAAAATTTATCCTTCTTTACACCTTGCGCTCACAAATCATTATGGGAATATCCATTTACAATTATTAAAACCTGAAAAAGCATGTCTGCGATGTTATCGTCATGCGATGATTTGTAGATACTTTATTTTTTACCACGATATTTTCGACGACGATGTTTTTAAACTGCGATGTTTTTGAACCGCTTTATTTTCGACGACGATGTTTTGTACCACGATGTTTTAGAACTGCGATGTTTTCTCTTTGCGATGTTTTCTTCCACGATGTTTTGTAGCACGACGTTTTCACCTTGCGTTGTTTTCTCCGCGACGTTTTCGTCCACGATGTTTTTGCTGCGATGTTATCGGCGGACACCGTTTGTCAGGACTACCCGTTGTTAGTCAGATTTCGAAGGTTGCCATTTAGAGGTCTTAGTCAACACTTGGGGATGGACTGCAATGCATCTATTTGTTCTTATTCTCTACAATTGGTGATGTTCATTTCTTTTTTGGTGGACCAATTGCCTTCCACATCTTGCTTACATGCAGATTCCTAGACTGGGTGTATCAGATAAGTTCCCCTTGGTTGAACGGAGGTTATGCTCTCTTGGATTGCCTCTAAGAGTTGTGCTCTTTAACCGTGTATGGCAACTCTAAGCTAGGTCTGGGAGTCTCTTCTACCTGGTGCACTGCGAAATCAGCTAGTATCTGGCGCATTGTTCTATGCTAGGTCTTGGGACCCTCTTCTCCCTTGTTTAATACTGAGAAAAGCTGAAAGAGTACTTGTGTGTGAGAAGTTTCTGAAATTGCATTCAATCCCGTACGCAACGAAATAAATGGTACGATTTCATTGAACCCGATGTCTAATTCTATAATAAGTTATATGAAATGGATTCTAAAATGCTCTGTAATCTGAACAGAAGGTAAGTTTGAAGTATTTAATTTATTAAATCAGTAATTATTACTGAAATAAATCTACTCCGTGCTTAGAATTCCCAGTCCAGTTTAGAACGTAACAAGTATTCGAAGGACTGGACCAAGAAAAATGAGCTTTTATTACATTCATTTATTTGATTATTCAAATTATTTTATGCTATGCAATATTTTTCGTATCAAATAACAACGCCTCATTTGCAATCTGCGAGATTTTCCGTTTCTTATTAGCAGAAAAAGAATAATAGTTTTGAAACGGATTAGACACAGTATCATACTTGATTTTGTTGTTATGCATAAAGATGAACTAATTAGGGAAATTAATTAAAAAATAACTAAGTTATCGGACTTAAATCTGAAACTTGGAATAAATTAGTTCTTTTCTCTGAAATTAAATATTTTAATAAAAGGAAGAAAGAAAAACGAAGCCGTTTCTGAAAGTTATATTTTTCAACTTATTAAATCAGAAACTTAATAATTATTAAACTAATTATCCAATTCACATTTAGAGATTTTTATTAGATTGATGTAATTCATCAGCCTGGCTTACTGTACTTGTATTCTTGTATTTGCCAAATTATGATCAATTTATTTCTACAAATTATTAACCATTAGATGTAAATTATAAGAGTCATTAGTAAGTACTTCGTAGTATTTGGGTTCTTTTCTAGGCATTCAAATTATTCATATTGCATTAATAATTGATGCAATCCAAAATATGTATAGGAAAATGAGATTTAAAATTCTGAAATTTATATAAGTAACGAAAAGTAATAGTTATCTACTATTGCGTGATATACTAAATAACTTCTTAACAGCAGTAATTACTATATAGTTAAGACCGTATGGTTCCATTGATTTCACTAATAGTTATTCTAATTAGTTAGCCTTTTCTGTCTTCTCTTATTCCCCTCGCCTTTCCTCGCCAGTATGTAAATTAGTTAGGGTGAACGAGCATATTTAAACTGATGTAGAGAAAGGCTTAGACAGAGCATGGTTTCGCTGTTGTAAGCGCACGTTATTATTTCTGTATATCGGCTTTGCATTCTTGCAGCCGAGTTATTATCCTGCTGGTGTACGTTCTTACACCTGCCGGTGTAGATGGTCAACCTGTTAGATGAGACAGAATTGTGTAATCTTGAACTAATCTTGACCTTTAAATTTAGGATTCTATTAACTTTTAAATTCTCACCGCAAATGTTCGGTGACCGTAAGCACGTAAATCCGTGTCGTCTATAAAGTATCGTGTTCAATAAAAGGATCATTTACATCCTTCCCATCTTAAAGTCTATGCGAGAATTCGCAAGTGTTAACACTTAAGTAGATCTAGTTACATTCCATGATAGCTAAGAAGACAAGATCCAATAAGACAAGTAGTTCTTTATTGAATAGTAGTAGTGATGTATTTATTATGTGAGAGTATACTAATGTGATGCGTAGCAATAATTAAGAAATAATAGTTTCCTAAGTAAACCTTTGCGATTTTGCAGCTGAGGATGGTGGTCCGGTAAAACCATCGAAACTAGTCCTGTAAAAATTTTGAAAATATTACGCTGATTTTTGTTGTTTGACTTCTGAATTAGTATTTATTCCGCGTGTTATTGTGTCTTAAATAATAGTTAGTTAAAAACTAAGAGTTTTTTTATCTTCTGAATAAACAACTTTCAGTTAGTATATTAAGTATCATCAAATATTGTAGTGAAATGCCCATATTCGGTAAGATAGCTTCCCTGCAAAGCGGGTTCAGGGTTGCCAGAAAGTGGCAAGGAAATGCAGGGTTGCCACATTTAGCACGAAATCGCACATTTCACGACAGAATTGCAAATACGCCTAGACGGAGCAAGAACATTTGTATTCAACATTGTATTGAACATTGTATTGAACATTTGTATTTGTCAATAAACAAAAAATTGTTTATTGACAATGCGAGAAACGTTCATGCATTCATGCAGATTCTTCATTATTTAGTTTTTTAAATATAATAGAGGGCGATAATATTTGGTGGCAACACTTTGAAAAGGGAATCAACGCAGAAAGTGAAATGACGCAAAATGGCCGTTTTGAGACTTATAGCTTATTGGGTCTAACGGCCCTTTTGTCTAAAAAGCAAAAGATACTAAAATTAAAAAAGTACTTTTTCTTCTAAATTTCCTACAGTAACCGTAACTGAATATTTATCTTCCTTGTATTCTTAAAATAATTAGCGGGAGCAAAATTTCGATGTTAGTAATTATGAAATGAGTTTAATTTGAACAATAATAAAACTTTCATTCAGAATTGAGCTGTAAATTAAGTAAGACGAAAGAGCACTATGATTGGAATTGAAGAAACACGTTTGTAAAAAAAGAGATTAATATTTTATTACTGTCAATGCAATAAAAATATAAAATCCAAAATGTTTCTAAATTTTTGCATAAATTTTTATTTTAAATATATTTTATTTATTTTACCACAAATTCAAGTAGTCAAAAGGGGGAGAAATCAACTTTTTTTTTTGAGAAATTCTATTTCAATACGTGGGCACACCCCTTTCCCCAGTTTCTCCCCAGCTGGTTACAGCACTTCTTATTTAATCTAAATTTAATTACTTACCTCTAAAAAGAGAATACAAAGGTGCATCAGAACTTATCGTGGCACAAGCTTGTCGGAGGGATTTGTAACCATCGCAATAAGCTGCAATAGATAAGAAATGAATACATCAATAATATGAGACTTCATTTACAAAGTTATTAACATATTTCACACGAAAATGTATCGATACATTTTACTTTTTAATGCACTTAATTAGGATCCATTAGCTTAAAAATACTAGGATTTGTCTTTATAAAACTACATTTTGAATTTACTACAAAAAATGCACTTGCAAAGTATTCGCCAATTTCAAACCAACAATTTAAGCAGATATTTTTTAACTTCCTTTTACAAATTAAAGGAAGTATTGGAATCGCGAAAAATTTCAAGTATCATACTTCCACGAGTATTCATGTTTAACCGGTACTGGCTATACTCCCTATAACGGTACTGGCCGCTACTAAAAACCAGAAGTGGTGGCCATTTTATTGTAGATGCACATAACAGGCGGCCATCTCTACTTCCTATTAAGGGACAGAATTCACTTTATGAGAGAATTTAAGTTAGGCAAGTTTGGCCTATACACATGTTTGGTCCTAGTTAGCTTCAAAAAAATTAAGAAATACCTAACTGCTACGAATGATGGAACTACTCTGATATGCGCCCTCAAGTCGCCAAATTTCCGCCATCCAAAAACACGGTTTTCGCGAATGCAAAAACCACGTTTGGAACACACAATTTAAGCTAAAAATCCGAAACAGAAACAAAAAGGTTTAGATAGCAAAACCGTAAATTTCTAACCAAAATTATTTGACAAGAGTCCATGTACACAGCGATATGTTTAACTTAAGGGGTACAGAAACCCTATACCGACAACGTTAAATTGGCATTTCGATGTACTTTTCTCAAATTGCTTGAAATTTTGGTGTATTAAGTAACTATCTGATTATACTGAAATGAGCTTTAAAACATTTTGAATTTGAGAATTACAGACTTTGTAGCATAGTAAGTTTAGCATTTTCTCACACAAAACCTTTTTACAATTTTTATCCAAGTTATCACAAAAGCTCATTCCAGAAAATTAGAAACCTAATAATAAGCATAAAAATTTAGATACCTGTGAGCAGTAGTCCGGGAAAGTATCGAGTGTAAAAAAAAATCACGTTTGGAGAAAAACGCGTTTTTATGTAAAAATTCTCATTGATCAGAGCAGTCGATGACATATTAAAACTAGATTTTTTTTACAGTTCTGATTTTCATATAGATTAAAGAATGGTATTTTTAGAAAGATAAAAGTGAAAAGAATTTGAAAATGCCCAAATCCGAAATCACAATTTTTTGAAGATTTTGAGGTTCCAACACCCTTTAAAGATTTACAATATATGAAATAGATAATAAAACAAATCCGAAATTCAAGATGTCTATGTTCGGGTGGAGGACTACGTTATTCAAAATTGGACTGTCCTAGGTACCGTTGCTTTTTCGCAATGCTAGAAACAGGTACACACATTCATGGCATTTTTCGTTTTTTAATTTCTTCAAATATACACGGGGGGTTATATTTGGTGGCAACAATTTAAACGTAATATGTCATTTATAGTGATTCCGTGCAAAATGTCGTTTCGAGACTAATATTCCATTCGGGATTAATGTCCTTTATGGGCTAATAATATAATGTTTCCCCAAAGCTTTCAAAAGATGTAATATGTTAATAAGTTCTCTCCTAATTGTTTAGGAGAGAACTTATTAACATATTAAATGCTTTACAGAAATGCTCATTTCTTGTGCTACCTCGCGAGCTCCCAACGCTACTCTGAACCCTTTTCTCGTCTGGGATCACTTTTAAAAAATGAAAATAAAAATTTAAACAAACTCATCACTCTATAAGGTATTTTTTCCCTCCTTTCTACATGCCTACGTGGTAGCACACACGGTAGCACACTTGGCGCGTATTCGAGAGGTTTGGGTTCGAGTCCCAGCGAGAGCACTGCACATTTTGCATGTCTTCCGCTTCCAAAATAACCTAACGTCTCTACAGTGGCGCCCGAACTAAAAGGTCTTGGTGGATGATGATCCTTCACGACCAGGATTTGGCGACTGTGTCCCCTAATTCCCAGTCGCTCTTTAAAAGGGGGAGAATATAAAGTATTTCCGCACTCGTTCCTTTCTGCATGCCTTCGTGGGGTAACGGTAGCACACTCGGCGCGTATTCGAGAGGTCCAGGTTCGAGTTCCGGTGAGGGCATTGCACATTATTCACCATTCTTGTTTCAAAAATCCTAACGACACCACAACTATCCTTCTGTTTGTTCTGGCAATACACCGCTTTGGCATGCATATATAGAATAGCTATATACCCACATAGCACCAAAACATCTTGGGATATATCCGAGGGATGTACTCGCAGGATATGAGCACATCCTCAGGACATCCGAATATCCCAAACATCCGAAACCTCTCCCAGTGTTAGTCACTTACCAGTACATACTACGACATCCTAACTAAGTCCCATCGACAGCGTACGAAGTATTAGGATTGAACTCCTACTACTACATCTTCAGGATATCCCGGGATATCCCACTAACCTCCTAAACACATCCCATTATATATTAAGTTTATAAACTTCGGTGTTGCCGGATAAATCAGTTTTTAATTATGTTTTTCTTAATATAATACACATATACCTTTACATTTATAAATGAGGTAGCATATTTTAATATTTTACTCTTTGTAAAACTTCGACGCATTTTTTTTTTTTTTTGGTAAACAAAATATGTATACTTTTAATTCAAATAATGTGTCTATTAACGGAATTTCTGTGAAGTATACCACGCAGTCTGAATAGGAAAAATAACAAAAAATTGCCAAAGCACGCGAAATTTATGTATAAAAGAAAAAAAGAATTACTTTAAGTCAGCTCTTTTACGGAATTCTTTGCGTCACGCAACTTCTCCATTACCTGAACGAAGGTAAACATACACATACACCTGAAACTATTGGTATAAGATACATGCGTGTGAAAAAAAATACCCCAAAATGACGTTGCTAAGCTCAAAACTTGCTGTACGGTTTAGTTTTCTTTCCGGAGACCTAAAATTTATTGCCAACTATTAAAAAAAGTTTTAAATTTCCTTCCGTGGCATTTTCCTCCTTATTTTTGGATAAATTTCTTCGATCAGAAACGCTGTTTTGGGATAAAGCGTTGGCTAGTTGTGAATAATTTTGGAAAAAAGAAAAGTGTTGCCAGTTTTAAAGCAAAAAAGAAATATTTAATCGGAACTGACACCTCAGCTAAAACTTTAGCAATAAATGTAAAAAGGAAAATATTTAAATATTGACATATATTACTATAATTTAGGTTAAAATAACACTCCGAGCAAAGATAAATTTAGAAGTCAAACAACAAAAAACATTAATAACAATTATTATTTAACATTATTAAACAAACAGTTAAAAAATTCCCATCTCAACACTCCAAAAGAAACACTCTTCTTTAAGGAGATTATAACAATTCTGTTGTAATTCCGTTCTTTCCATAAATTAGCTATAAAACTGCACGCATGAAAAATAGAAGTCCTATGTTTCCCAGCACTGTTGCTCCGAAAATCACATTTTCAAGTTTTCTGCGGCGAAAATTAACATCTTCCATTGGTGAATTAAATTTTCTAGAGCCGTTTCACATTTAAAAAAATTCTGTTCTAGTTTACGACCCTAATTCTAATGCACCTTTAACTTCAGTCCTTAAGGAAATTATGCTTTAGTTTTCTTGTTTCATCAATAGATGGCGCCAGTAGCTTAACTCCTATTCCGCCTTTCTTACCTTATCACCATATCTAATCTCGTTCATCTGCACTTTGACAGCTGAGCGTAATGTTTCGGTAAAGCCATCGAAACTAGTCCTGGAAAATTTGCAAATATTACGCTGATTTTTGTTGTTTGAATTCTAAATTAAATATTCTACTTTATTCCAATTAAATACATTTTTGCTATAAGAAGTATTTTGAAGAAAACATATAGAATGGAATTAAAATAATCAGAGGACAAATAAAACCAAAAGGCAAGCAAATTAAAGCTCATTATTTAAGATAAATATAAAATTTAATTGCAGGTTACATAGGAAAGCTTTGTGTATTTCAAAGAAGATTAGATCCTTTTTCTACAGAAAATAAATTATGCTCATCAAGCCAGAATTATGTTAGTTAAATACCCCATATAAATAATTAGCCATTAATTTCAAAGTGTTTAAATCATATACTATTACTCTAATGAAGTTTATCAATTAAAATAGGGAGCTTGTAGGAATCTTCTGTTAAAATTGAATTCTGTATTTTAGATATCTGTGGTGTTTTATGTTGTGAATTATTTTGGGTTGGGAGAGGTTTAGTATTTTTGTGAGTTGTTTGAGGGTGGCTGGTTGCGCTCGTTTATGGAGATATGGGGCCCCATATTTTGAGCTATGTGGACACTCGTGTCGAGGTGGGCTGAAGGGAGCCTCCAATTCTTACCCAATATAAATATATAATGTTCGGAAAAAGAAACTACAAATAAAGCCCATTTTTTATCAAAAATAGAGAATCAAGGGCTACGAAAATCATTAAACACTTTGCTTGCCCATCATCGGCCGAGCGATAAAGTCTCTGAACACTGGTAGTTCGGTCCCAGTTCCGAATCCGGCGAACGAGCTAGCTGAATGGTCATTTTAGTGGTTTCCTCATGTATAACGTGTTAATACGAGCCAGTTTTCCTTCGAAAGTTCTCCATGTCCCCATTTAGTGTGTGTGGGGAAACATTGGTGCCTTAGGGCGGAACATGTAAATAATAATTAAAAACTGTTTAAAACTGGAAATAAATTTAAATCATTAATTATAGCTGATAGATTTTAGTTTTCGGGGTAGATTCGAAGAAGTTTAAATTGTAATGTTAAACTAACTTGTTATTATGATTTTGATTAAACATCAAGGTTGTGTAGAGCCATTAGGTTATTGCTGATAGCAGGAGAGATGAAAAATTAAGCAATGCCCTCGCCGGGACATGAACCATAGACGTCTCGAATAACCGCAGAGCGTGAGCGTGCTGACCACTACACCACCAAGGTATACTAAGAAGGCGGGAGAAATACCTTTTATAGTTGAAAAAACCTATTATTATGGTTTTGATCTTTAACTTCTTTGTTCCGTATAAAAAATAGACTACAGTCCCCACACTGCAGTCTATTTTAGATGAGGGCTTTTGGATCTAAACAGAGAGAGATTCCTGGCACTCTCATCGTGAATTCAGAATTCTACCAACTCTAACAAAATGCAATTATATTGGCTTTAAACGTCTCTGGTAGCTGATTAATACTTCAAACTCGCGCATCGATAAAGTTAGACTCAGCCAGACATACTTGCGGTTCCATAGCCCTGAGGGAAGATCATTTAAAAGGGTTGAACCAAGGGAGGTTTGGCAGTAAGTCTCCAATCTGGTGGTATCGAAAGCGAAGACGGCTTGCTGTTTTACCCCAATTCTGTGTAATCCCATCGGTACCAGTAGTGGTGCAACGGCCACTTCGTTGTATACCACCATGTTCTGTGTAATTCCTTCAGTTCAGTACTGCCCGCCTTATACTGGCCAGGGCACTTTGACCGACCAGTTAAATCTTCAGGCCAATACTGCTGCACTCCATGGTAGTCTCTGGTCTCCGGAGGTGGTGACCCCCGATCGAGCAGTTTCGAGATGGGTTAGAGAGATCAATTAGATTCTGTCTCCTGCAAGCGTGGGTCAGGCGGCAGCAGAGTGAGCTTTCTTACGCTCTCGTTGGAGGCGAAATTTGCCTAACAGACCCACCTTCTCCTAATATGGAGGTTGTAAGTTGGGGTTTTGGCCCTGTTGTTCGCCTGTGTGATTTCATGATACCAGTAGTTAACAAACTTAGCTTCACTAGCTTAGATTATTGTCTTTGGGCTGTCTTAAGCTGCTTGTAAGCGTTGAAACCCTCTGGCCGGCAAAGATTTTCTCTAAGAAATCACAAATTTTTCAAATCTACTATGAGAAAAAATTACTTTTTTAATTTTAATGTAAAAATTCTCCTGTTGTCTTTATACCTGGATTTGTGTACTTTTAATATATTACCTTAATTTCTTTGAAATATTTTAATATACATGTATATATAAGTTCTTACATACATCAAATAATTTTTTCTAAGCCGTATATATACTGCCTTGCCGGTTGGAGGGTTAAACTTTATGTGATTGTTATCATTTAATTTTACCTCATTACAAGTAGTGGTCATTTGTAGTACAAAGTTGTGTCCCTTATGTTCTTTTCCCCCGGGGGTTGACTCAGGCGAACGCCTGGGAAGTACTGGTTAGGATCTGTACCTAGGCAATCTCAACCACGGGGGCATAATAACAAACTTCACAGAAGACCTGAAGGCTCTCGAGACAGAGTAAGGCTCGGCAGGGACCATGCCTTAACTGCCCTTACTCTGTGGGGTCGCAACATTGTGAATTGATCAAGGACGGGGGTACTAATTCCGATAGGCGCCTATTAGGTAGCATTAGGATGGAAACCATATCGTTCCATCAGCTTTGTCCCTTATGTCGAAAGTTCCGTTAATAAGTTGTTTGCAACCTTTTGAAGTCTGTGTCATACTTTGGCAGACACGGTAATAACCCACTACCTGTCTAATAAAGTTCCAGGTAAGATAAAGTAGAACCCTATAAAATAAGAAATTGTTATTGTGTTCTGGTTGTGTAACTACTATATTAAAATGTACAGTGATGAATTATTTTGCTTTGAATATATTTAAAGAAAACGAACAATTTTATGTTACTCTTCTCGTATTTTAGTTTCCATTTTAAAATTATCTATCTCTTTCTCTAAAATTATTTGAGCTCAAAATAGGACAAATGTAGCGTAGTAAAAGGATATAGCAGTATTAGAGGCTTGCAGATTTTGGCGATATCGCGTGACTATTAGTCTGCTGTTTTATTTGAATTTATCCTTTAAAAATAATTTTGTTACTGCAAATATAGAAAGAATTAGAGATTTTATTAAATTTGTGAAATGTGGAAAGTAATGTTAGCTAAATACACTGCCTCTTTAACGTAAACAGGTGGTGCACATTTTCACATAGCAAGCTCGTTTATGAATATTATTGGCTGCATCGTTTGAAAGGGGAAAATATATACTATGGTTTCTAATTTTTCTCGAAAATGTGCAGATCAAACATACAGTAACAGCACATTATCTATTTTTCATATTTTCAGAGTTCGATAAAAATTTTCCAAAAACGTGACGAACAACTAAATTTTACCAGGATACAAAATATACATCTGGAGCATTACACATATTAAAGTGTTGATAGAAGCATGATGTTTCAACACATGGAGCATTACACATATTAAAGTGCTGATAGAAGCATGATGTTTCAACACCTGGGGCATTACACATATTAAAGTGCTGATAGAAGCATGATGTTTCAATAAGGAAACCTTCGTTTCTTTTCTTTAATATGTGTAATGCTCCAGGTGTACATTTTAGCAAGATACAAAATATACACCTGAAGCTTTACACATATTCAAGTGCTGGTAGAAGCATGATGTTTCAATAAGGAAACCTTCGTTTCTTTTCCCGTGCATGATTTTATTATTTTTCATTCATGGAAACAATTGCAATATGTAAATAAGTAATCATGTAATAATGAGCGGTTTACGCCAATAAGTTGCTCATAACCTGTGTGGTCGTTATATGGAAATTAAATATTATCAGCAAGATCTAGTTCAGGGCAGAGGCATGTATTTATATAACGTTAGCTTATATAATTTTGTTACATATATTTTACATTTTCTAATAAACTTGAAGTGAAAAATAAAATTAAGCCTCAGATGTAAAACCAAACTTTTGTAACTGAAGCGAGAAAATTATAAGAATTTGTGTAAACAATTAAATTAAAGAATGTTAAAAAAATAAAAACGAAATAAATTATTAATGAGCTTTTGTTTAATGTTTCAAATAGAACTTTTCAAGGGGTTAGTGTTTAAAACATTAAACCGGAACGATTTACGAATGCCTAACAACATGTTTCGTTCTTCTAAACATCGTATGACTCAAACCGTTGTAAATTAATTTTTCTTTACTATTAGTTTAAAAGATTCTTTACTAGTAGATTAAAATAACACGCCGAATATTGTTTGCAAAATTATTTTTCTAAACGTCCTATAATATATTAAAAGAATATAAGTATACAGTAACTGAATTATGATCAAATAACTTACTTTCTCTGTACTGAAGGACATTTGTATGCTTCTCATATATCACAACACAACGGAAACACTTTTCCTTCCTACAAAGAAAAATAACATTTTCTTAAATCCTCAGAAATCTCAAATACTTAAAAAAGTGAATGTTTATTACATTTATGATTTGTATTTGCTTTTTATATTACAAATTCTTCATATTTTGGAACCTGAAATTAAATACAAAAACTCATTAGAAGTTTCTTTATGTACAACTGAAGAAAAGCACAAAACTTATATCAATGCTGTCATTTGTAAAATGACAAATGGATTATTAAATTACTCTCATTTGAGAGTCAAAACTCGCAAGAGGCTTTATTTATTTTTGGAGAAACTTCGGGGGTCTTATTTTAGTGAACTCAATAAAAAATATTTTTATTGTAGACATCTGTTTTATCGGGGGTTAAAAAATCTCTTAAAAATTAGCTGACGTCATCAACTTATGAGAGCTGTCGTGGTTGAAAAAATTCTTTCAGGCGATCTTAGATATAAAGTTTGCATGCATTGAGATTTGAATTGTTGATTTCAAATTCCCATTTAAATTTCTCATTTAATCTCCTCCATGGGCTTCGGGAATGTCCAACAGGGAATGTTCATCGTATTACAAAAGATAGATGCCATACAGACTGCCTATAAATTTGGCCATACCATGACTGTAGGTCTAGACTGTGTTTTGTTGCATCACGGTATCAGTTTGTAGTTCTGTCACAATATCATTTTAAGCCAGAAAAGAGAACACGATGTTTCAATGGTCCATAGAGAACACGATGTTTCAATGGTCCATAGAGAACATGATGTTCCAACGGTCCATAGAGAACATGATGTTCCAATGGTCGATAGAGAACATGATGATGTCCCAATGGTCCATAGAGAACACGATGTCCCAATGGTCCATAGAGAGAACATGATGTCCCAATGGTCCATAGAGAACAAAATGTCCCAATGGTCCATAGAGAACAAGATGTCCCAATGGTCCATAGAGAACATGATGTCCCAATGGTCCATAGAGACCATGATGATGTCCCAATTGTTCATAGGCAACACCATGTCCCAATGGTCCATAGAAAACATGATGTCCCAATGGTCTATAGAAAACATGATGTCCCAATGGTCTATAGAAAACATGATGTCCCAATGGTCCATACTGATGCAAGAGCAGTGTTGCCATCAAACCATATACCATGCATTCAACGCAGAAGAATAAACAGTTTTATTATAATATTTATCAGAATTATCATTTTTCAGGCACACGAAATAGCAGAGATATGAAAAAATTTTTGTTCGCCCTAACAAAAAGTAATCTAGATATAAATAAATCTTTCTCCAACAAGATACATGAGGTACTCAGCGCACATAAATAGGGTACAGTTCTATATCTCGCGTTCTACTCGGCCGTTTGACGAAATTTAACTTGCGGTTGTCATAACTTAAAAGCGCGACTTAGGATATATATTAGATTTACATATAACAGTGTTCTAACATACGTATTTTGACACAAAATCGGACTTTTTTTGGAAATGACATACCGTTTGTTTTCCATACTGCGATTTTACAACTCAAATTATGCCCAAATTTTAAATTTTGTAAATTTTGGTGGAAAAAATTACCCAGAAATTTAAAAATCAACCTTGGGGCAGTCTTTCCAATTTGCGCCAAGGGTAATTCACTTGGCGAAATTGTTAATTTATGGTATCCTATTTTCCTTTCGCTTGCATTGGGCACTGCCGGAAAAAAGGCCTATCATTGAGTCTTTCAAATAATTTTAACAAAGTGCATAACTTGGCGTAATTAACGCTTATAACAAACATGCCAAATTTCAAAAGACGCCAATAATACTTCAATAATACAATAATATGTTGAGAAATTTGGAATAACTGTGATTTTTCCGAGGTATGCCTAGAAATACATCTATTTTAAGATGACAGTAAAATTTTTATAGGCTATAAATAAAACATTTTCAAAAAATTTATAAAATTTGTAGAACATGCAAATCTTAAAAACCGGTTCAGAAAATATATTCGACATTTATTTGGATGGAACCTAAATTTCGTATTGTGAATGAAAGAATCAAGTAAATTTAATAAAAAAAATCTGATGT